TCTTTTATTATTAAAGTATAATAGCCTATTTACTTTAGCTATAAAGTTTAATAAGGTTACTTAACTAATAACTTTATAGTCTTTATTAAGAATATTAGTCTTTATATAAATAATATCTTTAACTTTTTTTTTAGTTAAAGATTAGTTAAAATTACTATTTATATATATAGTAGTATTTATAGTATTATCTTCTTACTAAGAATCTTATAAAGGTTACTTTTTCTTTACTCTCTTAATTAAAGAGGTAATTTCTAGATATACCTTTAGCCTAGATATAGATTTTAGCGTTAGAAGTTATCCCTTAGGAAGCTTACTTTATATAATAGTTCTAGTAATAAGATTAGCTAGCTTTATCTTTTTTAGACTAATTATTACTTTTATAAGGTCCTTTAGTAAGAGATTTATAAGGTTTTATATACTTAATACTTTAAGAACTAAGTTTAAGCTTATAAGTAGTATCTTTAGTTTAATAATCTCTTTTATAACTTATTATTTAATTACTAACTTAAAGTCTATAAGTAAATAAAATTTTATTTTATTAAATATTATATTTTTAGTAATATATACTTAATAAAGGATAAAAACCTAAATTCTATATAAGTTATATACGTTTAGTATATATCTTACTAGGTACCTAATATACCTTTAAGGAACTACTTTAAAAAGTCTTTTCTTAATTTCTCTCTCTTTTTCTCTCTTTAGAGAGTATATATAATACCTATATATATAAAGCTAACCCTAGTGTAATTATAAATCCTTTATTAAACTTAATATATAAAAAAGTATATACTATTTAAAATATTAATAATACTAAGCTTCTTTTATTTTAACTAAAGATTTTTAATTATTATATTTTTATAGGCTAATACTAATTATATAGGCTACTACTATAATAACTTTAGACTATAAATTAGTTAGTAAGTTAACTATACTTATTATTTTAATTACTTAAGTAATAACTTCTTAGCCTACTTACTTACTTCCTTTTACTAGTTCCTTAGTATAAAGTAAAAAAAGCTCTATATTAATACTAAGTTCCTAAGTCTAAAGTTTATAAGTAGTATAGCCTTAGATTATAATTATAGTATACTTAATATCTTATCTAATCTTATAAATTACTAGCCCTTTTTACCTTTATATTTATCTTTTAAATAAGTAAAGTACTTTAAAAACCTTATATAATATCTTTTATACTTAAAAAAATATAAATAAATAACCTAAATATTTATCTTTAATAACTAGTATTTAATAAGCTTTATTAAAGCTTACTAGGTAGTTAAAAAGGCCTTATAAGATATAGTAGTAAGGTTATATTAACTTTACTTTTAATATCTATTTAGATATAACTTATAAGGTATATATTATTATATAATATTTATATTTTAAGTAAAAAGGCACTTAAATTTTAACTCCTCTTATATTTAAAATTAACTACTAAAGTGTATCTAGTCCTAAATACCTTAAATAAAGATACTAAGTGTTTATATTATTTATTTTATTACCTTATATATTATAAGATAGTTTTAGGTATTAACCTTTTAATTTTAAGGTAAAGAATATACTTATAAGGCTATATAAAATAAGTAAAAAAAGTATATAGAATAAATATTATATTAAAGAAAAACTAGGTTAAACTTTTATATAAGGTAAGTAATTATTTTACTTTTTTTAATAAGACCTCTTTAGAAAGTATAGTTATAACTATAGTACTAAATATTTACTTTTTATAAATATACCTCTAAGATAATATTTATATAAAAGTTCTTAATATAATAGATATTAGTTAACACTAGGTTAACTATATTAGGCCCTTTTAGTCTTAATAAAATCCTCTTAAGAATATATATTTTTTTTTAATAACTAAAAACAAAGATAATCCTAATTTAATATACTTGTTTATCTTAGGATCCTTAAGTAAATCTAGCTTAAGGAGGCTAAGATTATTTACTAGGTAAATAGTACTATAATTATTAAAGACTATATACTTAGAAAGTGTATATAGGCTATTATAGCTATAAGTAAAGACCTTATATAATATAGTTTTTACTTAAAGTTTTTTTTTAATAAGTATTAGGTTAATTAATATATAGACTACTAAGTTTTTAGCTCCTAAAGTAAATCCTAAATTATTTTTATCTTTAGCTTTATTTTTTTTAAGTAAAAATGATTTTCTATTTAAACTTTTATTTAGTAGCTTTATTTAACTTTTATTAATAAATATATATTATACTAACTACTATTTATCTTTTTTAAGCTTTTCTTTAATCTTTATTAACTTTTCTTAGGTCTATTTAAGGTTTATTTAATATAAAATACCTTATATTACTATTTTAACCTATAAATAGTTAGCTAGGTTATATATTATAAGGACACTATATAGATATTCTTTTATCTTTAGTAAATTAGCTTTTAAGTTCTTGTTTAAGTAGTCTAAAAGTGTTATATAGACCCTTAATACTTTTCTTTTTCCTTTAGTTAAGGTTTTCTTATAGTAAAGTATAATAAAAATTACTTTATAATTACTTAGTAAGAGGTTTTTTTTATTAGTTATTTTATTTTTTACTATATAATTTATTACCTTTTTTATATATAAAAGCTAGGTAGTTTAAAATAGTTTTAAGAAAAGATTTTATAGTAAAATTCCCTTAGACCTCTAAAATATTATACTATTTTCTTTAGAAATAGTATTTCTACTATTTAGTATACTATAAAGTAAGATTAATATTTATATTTACTTTTATAAGTACTATAAGATACTCTTTATAAACTAAAGTAAGTATAGTAAAGTTATTTAAAGTATAATATTATTTAAAAACTTTAATTAAAGCCTAAAGTAATATATTTTTTTAGTTTAAAACTTTATTATTAGTTACTTTATTAAAAATCTTTATTTAAGCTAGGCTAAGTAGTACTAAGTTAACTATAGATTAAACCTAAGCCTTAATCTTTTTATATACTTATTTTTTATTAAAGAATTTATTAATATTCTTTTTTTATATACTTTTAATTAAGTAAAGTATAATAATATTTATAGTTTTAATTATAGCCTATTAAGATAATAGCTTATCTTTATTATATTTTACTAGCTAGTTATTAAATAACTAGTATTTTAGCTTATCTATAAGGTTTTTTTAAGAATTAGTATTTAAGTTAATATAGTCCTATAAATTCTTACTATAAGTATAATATTTAAGTATAGTATACTACTTAGGCTAATTATACTTAGTAACTAGCTTAATTAACTTATTAAAGTTTATTAACTTCTTAGTTTTAGTTATAGTAACTTAATAGATTAAAATTAACTAAGAAATAATTTTAAAATAAGAGATTAAGAGATATAGACACTAGATTTAATTATAATATCTAAGGGCTTCTTTATATAAAAGCTAGGCTTATAACTATAATAAACTATAGTGTCTTATTATATAAGAGAAAAGTAGTTAACCTATTAAGAAACTATGTATAAACTAGAGAAGTAGTAGAAATACCTTTTCTAGATAGTCTATGCAGGTGGTACGCCACATCCTGTGGCGGCGCTGCTGGCACTAGCTACATAAAGCTATTCCAGCTTCACGACAAGTGAGTAAATACTAACTTAAACCCCCTAGTTATACACTACCCCTACATCTACACCACTAGCCCTACCACTATTACTACCACTATTACTACTTATTTCACTACCTCTACTGCCTACCTATATGCAACTTCTAGCCTCACTAGGTAATTCAGATGCACTAGATTGATCTAGACTATCTATATTACTGATATCTAAACTTTATACTTACTAGATATCCTGTATAGTAGGAAAGGTGTTATTAGGTAACAAGTAAAGAGAATCTTGCTGTCTTTACTACTAGCAAACAGCACCTAGGCAAAGTAGACAGATCTAGTTAAGACTGCTGTGGTGATACAAGTCCTGTATAGCTAGAGCTTAAGGGTTGGTCTCTTTGTTAGGAAGACTAAAAAGAAGAAGAAGGGCGGTGTAGCCTTTGTTCTTAAACGTAAAGGGTACTGTGCTTGAAGTTCTTGAGGGCAATGTTGAGATTAGCTACAGTACTTGTAATAAGTTGACTGGAAAAGATGATGAGAATGTGGCAAACAGTTTTGGTATTGCGCGGCGGCTAGATGCGGCGTATTCTGCGCAAAGCAGATGTAAGCAAGGGATGATGTGGAACTCTCGCTGCACGGCCGAGCTGAAATGTACATACTCACCCGGGTGACAAAAAACAGGTTATCTTTTACTGCCTACCACACCTACCACAACCTTTGTTACTACTACTACTACTACCACTACTACTACCACTACTACTACCACTACTACTACCACTACTACTACCACTACCGCAACAGGCTACAGCCCTTGAAACGCTCAAAAAGGCACAATTACAAGTCGCTCACCGATTTTTGAGGCTAAAGGTGTTGAATACAAGAAAAAGAGCTTAGGAAGGGAAAATGACAGGCTATTAGACTAATAGTAGTTGTGGTGTTCTAGTGGTGTTGGAGAAAGGTATCCTGTTTTTTGTCACCCGAGTGATACTATAGGTGGTTTTATATCTAATTTCGTATGTGCGTGGGGCATGGTCATGGGGGAATAACCAACCGCCTTGGCACCGTAGATATCTTCGACCAATTGTTAGCTGGGTGCCTGACGTATCCCCTTGCTTGCCACATGTCCTCAATAATCCCTTGGTGGACCCCTATCCACTTTTACGCCTCACTTTCGGAGATATATGACAATGCATCGTTTTCGAATGTTACGTAGACGGAGTAGTACGGATACTCTGTACTCTGTACTGTCATCTCATACTTGGAAAAAGCGGGGGGGAAGTGGGGGAGAGCGCTCGCTATGGCACTGGGGAACCCGTCACGAAGATTCCTGAACCGCTATCACAGTGCCACAGGATACATTAATAGAGACTTGAACACCGAGCAAATGACAAAACTCAGCATCCTGCAGTCAATTGTTCTACTTTGAACTCGCCGCTCGCTATATTGTCAAGATGCAAGCTATTATCCTCGCTGCGACCGGCCTTGCCCAGCTTGCCTATGGACATCCTGCTCAATCATTCTCATTGCTAAGAGATGACGTTGCAGACACCTACGACTACGTTGTCGTAGGCGCCGGTGCAGGTGGAATGACTGTTGCCAACAGACTATCTGAGGATAGCACAAGTACGTAGCGTACATGCTTGCCTTGTGAGACAGTGCACTTCGCTGACAGGAGAGCAGAAACTGTTCTTGTCATTGAAGCTGGGCCGCTGTAAGTCTAAGTCATTCTACTGCAAATTGACTGTCACACAGGTCAATAGAAACTAAAGCCGGCAACAGGCATCACTACGAAGCTGGTTTCATGATTCCCCGTTTCTATAATGGTGAAAAGGGAACCAAGTATGATTGGAACCACACCACAGTTGCGCAGACCAACCTTAAGGGCCAATCTATGGTTTACACCCAGGGCCATGTCGTAGGAGGCGGCACTTCAATGAACGGTATGGTCTTCGACCGAGGAACTCCTCAAGACTACGACAATTGGGCCGCCCTCGGCAATCCCGGCTGGGACTTCGAGACTCTTTTGCCATACTTTAAGAAGGTGTGTTGAACGGAACCTGTAACGTAAATTGGCCTAATGTTGTATTGTCACCAGAGCGAGACATTCAACCCACCGCCACAAGACAAGGTCATAGATTTTGGAGTGACATACGACCCCGAGTGCCATGGAACTTCTGGACCGGTGCAATCCAGCTTTCTTGAGTGGGCATATCCTCAGTATAGTAAGTGTTGTCTATTTCATACATCCTTATGAGCAGTCAAGTTAACTCAACATTACAGCCGACTTTTTTGAGGGTATGGCTTCGCTTGGCGTTCAACATCCTCTCGATCAAGGATGCGGAAAGTCGATGGGCGCTTACCTAACGACCCATTCCCTCAACGCCGCGAATCAGTCTCGTTGCGATTCGCGCATTGCGTACTATGATTCGGCTGTAAATCGACCTAACCTTCACCTCTTGGCCGAGCACCAGGTCACCAGATTGATCTCAGAGAAGCAAGGAGATAAGGTTACCATCGCCGGCGTAGAAGTAAGATCCAACACTTCGATGAGACCAATAACTGGCGGTTAATCTAACCAGCGGCTGGCCATATTTAGTTCGCCACATCACCTGATGATGTCAAGCAGACCGTGCACGTCAAGCAAGAAGTAATTGTATCAGCCGGGGCGCTCCATTCGCCCCACATTCTTCTTCTCTCGGGTATTGGACCGGCCAAGTTGCTACAGCAGCACGGAATCGACGTCGTCGTTGATCTTCCGGGTGTCGGTCAGAACTTGCAAGACCACGCAGGAGGAGTAACTTCATGGACAAGTGCGTTTTCTTGAAGAGGAGCCATAGTGTCGATGGCAGCTAACGGACGAGCTTCAGTCAACCCAGAGTTCCTGACAGCGAGTGATTTGACTAACAACGCAACATTGGACGCCGAGCAGGGTCGGCTTTATTACGCGAACCGCACAGGTAAGACAGTACACCGCATCTTATCCTTGCCCTACATATCCTAGGTTGCTTCATAATCTTACATGGGACAACGCTAGGCCGCTGGACCGAAGGCATCCCAAACGCCATGGCCTTCATTCCTTTTCTCAACTTCAGCAGCACCGAGGACTTAGGGCATAAAATCGTCTCGCAGATGGAACCGGCTCAGTCGGCGCTCTACCTTCCTGACGACACCGATGCTACAGTACGAGCCGGCTATCTCGACCAAGTTGCAGTTATCAAGGCGGCACACGAGAACCGCACGACGGCCGGGATGGAACTCATATACCTATCAGGCGGCACAAACATCGTCAATGTTCTCCTACACCCTCTGAGCCGAGGTTCTATACAGCTCAATTCGACCGACCCCTTCGTCGCGCCCGTTATTGATCCCAACTTTCTTGCCCACCCCGCCGACGCGCTAGCCCTGATTCAAATGGTGCGCTATAACCGTAGACTGATGGCCACAGATGCGATGGCAAAATTAGAGGCGGTGGAGACACTGCCCGGCCTAGATTACGATACAGACGATGAGATACTCGACAACACAAAGTCGGTTCTCCAGCCGTTCCTTCATCCTGGTGGGTCATGTGCATTGCTTCCGCTGGAGAAGGGAGGTGTTGTGGACACTGAGCTGCGCGTATATGGCGTGAGCAACTTGCGGATCGCAGATGCGAGTGTCATCCCTCTGTTGATCTCCGCACACACACAGGCCACCGTGTACGCTATCGGAGAAAGGGTAGGTTCAAAATTGAAGGAGTGACGTGCTTCATGTTGCTAACGTTAACAGGCTGCTGATTTAATCAAGGGTGGGCACTTGTAGATTTAAACATACACTTTGCTGAACTACTGAACGATAGTAGAGCTAGGAGCTAAAATGTTAGTAGCTAACGACTTGCCCAACGTGGTGAGGATGCTAGTATCCAGTTAAGCTCACTGAAACACAGCCTAATACTAAAGAAACTGATTAATTTAAAGAAGTCTAAGTTTCCTAGCTGAGCTATGTCATTCTAAGTTTATAACCACGATAGTGTCTATATAATGAGTGTGCGATCCCCTATAGAAGGAGAATCCTCCTAGCCTTATTCATACCTCTACTTGGACACACTTCAGGTTGCGTAAGGCGAGTCATTGGGCATAAGGAATGTGCCGTGGTAGTTTAACAGTTTTAATGAGCCTCATAAGTAACAGCTTCTATAGGATGTCCTTAGAGCCGGTTGTTTAGATAACTTAGAAATTGAAGTTGAAAATATAAACGACACACAGGCCTCCTCTATTTGTAAGGTTACGAGGAATGGACCGTGAACCATCCTTCTATGTGAGTCACCCACATGGCGGTGGATAATACTATGTGACGCCCTTCCTCTTGATTGCTACGCGTTCTTCTTATAGACTTATCCACCGTGTCCATGTTGCAACACACAGCGTTCAAGAGTTGTTCCGACCCGTTGACTGTCAACCGACCCCTCCTTAAACTAGCGATGATCGCAAGTGTATTCGAATCCTTAAGGTCAAATCCTAAGATCTCCTACTATAAGTTAGTTGGCAACGCAAATAGAGCTTCAGTAGGGTCTACCAACCTTATCATCTGTGTTGGGGGCCCATACAGCGACTAACCTATCATTCAGAAACAAATTGAACGAGCCATCCAAGTCCTTCAACATGGAGATTAACCACTCGCCGACCCAGAACTTCCATGCATCGCTCAAGAGCCTGGCATCGCTATCATGACTCTCAACGACCGCACCGATTAGGCTTTTGCAAGGTAGCTGTGTGCCATTGTATATGGATGCAGCTTTGTCGTTACGATCTTCGACCGTGAGCACGAAACGAGGGAAACCTCTGTGTTGCTTGATGAATCCTCGGATGTCGCTAAAGAGCATAGACATCACGAAGTTGACGGAGAGCAGATCAACTGTCTCTTCAAGGTGTCCTTGAGCCCCAAATTTCTGCAACTGGGCTACTAGTAACGGCTTGAAGTACGCTAAGGGGTTTCGTCGAAGCTGGGTCGGTTTAGCGAAGTGGTATGTAGCGGACTGGTGCTCCAAGCCTTGGGTCCTTTGTGCGTATATCATCGAATGGAGTGGCGTGACTTCCAGTTAGGTACAAATGATTATTACTTTGGGGGTATTATGTGCAAGACACTCGATGTATGTGTGGATGAAGATCGCAAGGATGAATAGCTAAAATTTAAGATGTCAGAAACCTTGAGTTGTTGAAGAGTGTACTTGCTACGAAAATCTTCTCACAATGTCAATGATACGCGATGCGTATTAAAATAGACTCCCGGGAACACTCCGTTCAGTCAGTCTGCAATGCGCCTATTGCTAAGCCCAAACACACTCCAACGTTTAAGCTGACTTCAATGGCAGGCGTCCAATGCGTTCCGGCAGTGGAGAAACCAGCATCATCTGGCGCCATTGCAAAGACCAGTACGCGGCTGGCAGAATCGGCATCAAGAACGAGCTACAAGCAAGCATCCCTAAACGACAGACAGACGCCTCCCTGCTGATGGCGCGAAAAAATGTGAAACGATATCGATTAGTGAAATGGTACAAAATTCGGACCAATCGGATTTTAAGAGCACGCTCATGTTCTCGTAGTAAACGAGTACGATGGTTTAAACGAGCTCAACGACTAGTAGCGGGGTCCAAAACCAACGGGTAAAAGAACGCAAAGGCTACGGCGCAGTAGTAGAGCTATTTCCTAAAGAGGTTACAATGCCGCGTTCTCCAGTCTTTCGGAGCGAGGGCGAGCAGGGGCATGTGGTGCCGTGACCCACTAGAGATCAATCCTAGTAGGTAGGGCAAGCCTGGAATCTCAACTCGAGGATGCGAGAATACGCGTGTTATTTAGAGTTACTCAGTCAGATAAGTCGAAGTCGGGGCCCAGGATGATTGCCATGCTTAATGCCAACCTAATGCTAGAGTATGAAGGGAAAGGCAGCAGCAGCAAGCATTATAGCGGCGGTTGTGCTTGCTTGTTTCTGTCGGTTGGTTTCGCGATGCAGGGGCGGGAGGAGGCTGACGAGGTACGTAGTACCGGTAGGTAGTACCAGTAGGTAGGTGCTTGCCTTTTTTGGAAGGTATCACCTCTCACAGTGTCATCTACGTACCTACCTACCTGGGTGTCTAAGTACCTACCTACTGTACCTAGATACCGGCAGTGGACGGGTACGTACCCAGGGAGGGCCAAACTTTTTGGCATTGACAACATCCACGACCCCCCCCGGCGGTGGCCGCGTTGGGGCAGAAGGCCCACGGCATTTACCCCCCCTTACCCACCCCTTCCCCCTCGGCCAGGCATCTGATGCCCAGGCTTTCATCAGTAAGACGGCTGACAGAATCCCGTGTTGGTTCGGGTTGGATGGCGACAAGGGCGCAGCGGACAGTTATTGTCGCATGGCGTAGAGAAGCACCCGGCAGCTAATGGTGCCAGGCACAAGGCGGTGCAGAATGACCAACGCCCGATCAGCGATGCCGCGATGGTTCTTGGAGAGTCGCGAGAGACAACCCTCCGGCTGCGAGACTGGGAGGCCGCCAGCTTCTACCTGTGTAGACAGATTTCCAGGGCGACAGATTACCTGAGGGTGTTAGTCAGCCTTTGTTAAAGCTAAACACCCCCTCCTTACGGAGGGGGCAAAAAAATAGGGTTACCACTAGGAAAATAGGGTTACTACTTGTCTTAACCTAGTCCTACTTTTTATTATATTTTTACTAAAAGTAAGTAATTATTTAAATATATTATTAATAAATATTAATAATAATTAAACTACTTATTTTACTTTAACTTTTTAATATACTTTACTAATATAATAAAAATATAACTACTACTAAAAAAGTAACTAAGATACTATATATTACTTATTAATAAGTAATTTACTAATAAGTAAATAAGCTAGTAACTAATATACCCTTTATATACTAGGCTACCTAGGATTATAGTATATCTTATATAATAATTTAGAAGTACCTTTAGGCCTTTTAGGAAGGCTATAACCTTTACGTTAGCCTAAATAAGCCTAGTTAGCCTTAGTTACTTATAAAGGCTAAAGATATAGCTTTTAGTGCTTTTATTATATAGCTTTATAAATCTAGCTTTTTAGTCTTACTACTCTAGGTTAAAGAAATAGCTAACTACCTCTATAGTATCTAGGGTTAACTACTAGTCTTTAAGTACTTTATCTAAAGCTAGCTTACTAACTATCTAAAGCTTTAAAAAAAAGGCACTATTAAACTAGTTAAGTTATACTAAAAGAAGGCTAAGTTAGACCTAGCCTTAATAAAGGACTTCTTTACCTAGTACTAGGCTACCCTCTATAAGTATAATATTAGCCTATTTAAGATATAGAACACTAATAAATCTAGGTACTAAATTAGCTACCTTAGTAGCTAGCTATATATAATTATCCTTAAGTAGTTACTAAAATATAATTATTTACTTAAAGTTATAGATTTAGTTAATTAAGAGTTATATACTTTAGTTAGGTCTAGTAATATATCTAGTAATATTATCCTAGTATATATAATCTTTAAAATATAGCTAGTTACTACTTAGGTAAATTACTAAGTCTAAGAAAGTATTTACTTTATATATTTATATTATAAAAAATAACGCTATTAATTATAGGTAGTAATTAACGCCTTATATTACTTTATATAATATACCCCCCTAGATTATAGAGACACTTCTATATTATATAATCTACTTCTTAGCTAGTAAAGAAGCTACTATAACCTCTCTTTATAATCTATTATTAAGTCCTAATTAGGGGTCTTTAATTAATTACTATAATAGAAGAACGCTTAGCTAACTAAGCTTAATAAGGTTAATTAGCCCTATAGTGTCTACAAGGGGAATTAAACCCCTAGGATCTATAATACTTAGACACTAACTTTACACTTATACTATAAAGGTATAATATAGAGTAAACTAGGCTTATAACTATTATAAAAAATAATACTATTAATTATAGGCAGTAATTAATGCCTTATATTACCTTATATAATAATTTACTAACTAGCTTCTTTAACTAAAAGATTATAATAGACTATATATAGTACTTTAATATAAAGTTATATATAAGGTTAATAAAGTATTACTAGATAGGCTACTTCTTTAAGGACTATTTTAGTGTTAACGTATATAGTTATAATACTTATAATTTATATCTACCTAATAGTTAACTAAGTAAACAAAGGGTAAAGTATTATAACTATTAAAATACTATAGAAAAGTTAAAGTAGCTATATTACTTTCTTTTTTTTAATAGATTTATAGGCTATATAAATCTAAAGCTTATAGAATATTATATTAACTTTAATATTATTTTTACTTTTTTTTTACCTTATATAATATTATTAGTACAACAGGTAGGCTTAGGTCTCTTAGAGAAAATAATAGCCTAAGAGTATATAAGAGAGTATATCTCTTATATAAAGATATATCCTATAGAAGCAAGAATATAAGATAACAGGGGTAGATATAGAGATATAAAGATATAGATATAAAGAGAGTATAATAGTTAGTCTTATTATTTTATTACTAACTATTCTGTTTTACTTGCTTACTTACTTACTTAAAGAGAGAATAAGATAGACTAGAAATAGAAAGAAATCTAGCCCTTATATAGACGTATCTAGCTTACTAGAATATTCTATACTTGCGTAAGCTGCTTAGAAATTAAACTAAGATTATATAACTTATTAACCCTAGTTAAATAACCCTAACTTAAAGCAGTAACCTTGTTAAAGAGATAGTGTTAAGAGGAGGTTTCTTAGATATTCTAGTACCTTCTCCTATCTTCTAGTAATTACGTAATTAGATATACTTATGTAATTAATATATATATTAATCTACTAAGTTAGTAGATTATAAATATATATATCTTATATATATATAACCTCTATAATAGAGGAAATATAAGATAAAGAAGTATTAAGAGTATAAGAGATACTCTTAGTTCTTATACTTCTAATACTCCCTCTTTTACTCTATTATAGAGTAAAATAAGTAAGAAAAAAAAAAGTACCCTAGACTAGAATATAATATCTAGAGACATGTCTTAATAAGTATAATAAATTATTAAGAAAAAATTCTAAAAAGATTAAGAAAAATATACTAATATATAGGTATATTATATAGGCTTGTTTTTATTATATAAGCCTATTAGCTTAATAAATTCTTAAAATTTAACCCTAGAAAGGGGTTTTATTAAGCTATTAGTAGGTATAGAGGAAGTAAGTATATATTCTACTTCTATATTGCCTTTTTTAACCTCTTGACAAGTATAATAGTAATATAAGGCAGTATACTTAGCCCTCTAATAATATTCAGGGTTATAGGCTAAGCTTAAGGCTATATTATTATCTGTTTTAATAGTAATAGGGGTTATATTATACCCTATTTTAGATAATAAGCCCTTTAACTAGACTACCTCTCTAATAGCTTTCTATAGGCTATTAAATTTAGCCTTAGTAGTAGATAGAGAGATAGTTAACTATTTTTTTAACTTCTAACTAATAGGCCCTCTAAGTAAAATAAAAAGATAACCAGAAGTAGATTTTCTAGTTTCTTTATAACTTACCTAGTCAGAATTAGTATATCCTACTAGGTTAATAGTATTATTAAAGCTATTATTATCTATATTATCTTTATAAGTAATATTATAATTAATAGTCTCTTTTAAATATCTTAATATACTTTTTCTTTGCTTAAGTAAGAATTCTATAGGGTTAGAAAGGTAACAAGAAGTAAAGGATACACTATAGGCTATATCTAGCCTAGTTATAAATATAGTGTATATAAGAGAACCTATAGGTTGTTAATATTCCTTTAATAGGTCCTTAGAAAAAGTATATTCTTCTATCTTATTACCTAGAGGGCTATTTAATATACTTATTAATATAGGTATATTATTTGTTTTTACTTTTAATAGGTTAAACCTTTCTAGAAGCTATTAAATATAGTAGGCTTAAGAGATAGTTATTAGAGTTCTAAAAAAAAATACAAGGATTCTATACAAGTGTTAAGACCTTTATAGTGTAGTAAAAAAGAGTTAGTAGTTATATAGGCTTATATAAGCTATATAAAAATATAGTAAAATAAGATTAACATTAAGCTTTTTTTTCTTAATATATTAATATTTTTCTTTCCTTTTTAGGAAGTAGCCCCGCTTCTCTATACTAGTTTTTAGAAATCTATTTTTAGTATAAGCACTAACATGTATTATATAGTGCTAAGTAAAAAATACAATACAAATACAAGTTATATTTACTAATATATCTTAGTATATAGTTACTAAAAATAGAAACTATACTAGGTAACCCTTGTAATAATTTTAAGATCTATACTATATATTAATTATATAATTAAATATTTATAACTTAGTTTAAAAAGCCTTGTATTTTAAAAAAAATACAAATTCTATACAAAATACACTTTTAAATCTCTAATAGTTATAGACCTTTTAGATCTATCTCTAGTTATATATAGCCCTAAAAACTTAGAAACTTCTCCTAGGTCTTATATCTCTATATATTTAGAGATTTTACCCTTAATATTTTCTATATACTTAATATCTTTATTAAGTATAAGAAAATTATTAACGTAGGTAATAATATAATAAGGATTATTTTTATTTTAGTTATAATAAGTAGCTTTATCTAACTTTAAAGATATAAAACCTATATCTTTTAATATAGATTTTATCTTTAACTACTATTACCTAGGAGCTTGTTTAAGGCTATATAAAGCCTTAAGAAGTAATAATATCTAATCTTTATTTTCCTAACCTATAGTATTTAGATTAGGATATTTAATAAAGAAATTAGATAAAGAGATATTAGAAAGGTCTATATAGACCTCTTCTTCTAAGTCCCTATATAAAAAGGCTCTAACTATATCTATTTATTAGATTTCCTAGTCTAGGGCTACTGCTAAAGCTAATAAAACCCTATAAGTAGTAAGGTTACTACCTACAGCAAAGGTTTAGAAATAATTAAGCCTATATTTTTAATAAAAACCTCTAACACAGAGGTAAGCCTTATATTTATTAATATTACCGTTAATATTAAATTTTTTCTTAAAGACCTATTTAGCAGTTAAAGGTACCCTAGAAGACTTATATACTTCTTTAGGTTCTACTGCTTTTAAAGTGCCTCTTTAGATAATAGTAGCTAGTTCTTTATATATAGCTTCTAGCTAAAGGTCTTTTTTAGGGCCTTCTAGAGCTTGTTTTAGAGTAGTAGGCTCTAGAGGTTATATACTATAGTTATATTCTATAGTATTATTATAGGCCTTATATTTATCTTTTTCTTCTTTAGATATAGAAGGTATATTAACCTTTATATTAGAAGAAGGAATAATTTACTTATTTATAGAAGTACTAGAAGGAATAGTAGTTTTTTCTCCCTCTCTTATAGTACTTTCTATAAATTTAATATATAAAGTCCTTACTATAGAGGACCTATAAGGCCTAGAAGGAATATATATAGTATATATATTATTTCCTTCTATAGATAAATAAATACCCTCTTCTGTATAGGTATTTAGTTTATCTAACTAAATACGCTTTTCTCTAGGTCTATATATTAAGACCTTAGAGCCTATTTTATATATATTAGATAAGTCTAGCTTATTATCCTTATTAGGATAATAATAGTCTAGAAAAGCCTCTATAGGGGTCTTATTTAGCTGTTTTATAGTAGTATAATTTAATAACTTAGTAGTTTCTTTAAGAATTATATCCTATAAAAACTT